TGCAAGAATTAAAATCAAGAATTAATAAATTGGATGGATTCTTTTCTTTTTATTTTTTGAGACAGGTTCTCTGTGTTTCCCAGGCTAGCCTTGAACTCCTGGGCTCAAGCAATCCTTTTGCATCAACCTCCCAAGTAGCTGAGACTACAGGTGTGTAGTCTCATCACATCTAGTTAGCAAGACTTTCTTATGTAGTTGTTTACATAGTGTTATTCAAGCACATGTGTCAACACACACACACACACACACACACATGCTTGAATGATATATAATAAATGTATACTAAAGACAAGACATAAATTCTATTTTTTGACTGTAGAAATAATGTATACTCAATGCAGAATACTTGGAAAATATTTAGAAAATCTCCTCCAAAACCAATATCACCTCTTTACAATGTTTTTATTTTGAAGTAATTTTGGACTTTTCTCAAAGTTGTAAGTACAGCTGCAGTAGGGAAAACGGTGCCTGAGCCTCAGATACCTAAACGTATTGCTGGATGGCAAAGAGACTTCACATTTGTATTTAAGTTGGTAAACTTAAAATAGGAAAGAATATCCTGGGTTACAGGGTGGGCCCAATCTGATCTCAGGAGTCCTTAAAGCAGAGAACCATCTCTGGCTGAAGTCAGGGATTCAAGGCATGAGAGGAGCTCAACACACTTTCTCTGGCTGTGAGATGAACCATGTGCAAGGAGGGCAGAGAGGCCTCTAGGAGATAAGGGCAGCCTGCTGCTGATAGCCCCCAGGAAATGGGGCATCCTTCATATAACTGCAGAAATGGATTCTGCCAATAATGTGAGTGAGCTTGGAGAGGACCACGCACCCCAGAATAGACGCGCAGCACCCCAGTGGGTAGAGAATCTARACATGCCAGACTTCTGACTTACAGGACTATGAGATAACAAACGTGATTTGGTATGCAGCAATAGCACTAATACAATAGAGATCCCTGTATATCCCTCACCTCTCTTCCCCTAACATCTAACACAACAAAGCACAATGAATAAACCTGGAGAATTGACATTGGTACAGTGCTACTAACTAAACTACTTTATTTRAATTTCACAATGTTTCCACTAATGTCATTTTCTATTCTAGGATCTAATTGATGATACCACAATACATTTAAATTAKGAGGACTATTTAGTCTTTTCTGTTCTGTGATACTACCTCAGTCTTTCATGACCTTGATTTTTTCTTTTTCTTTTTCTTTTTTTTTTTTTGGTGGTGATACTGGGGATTGAACCCAGGGACACTCTACCACTGACTCATATCCCCATCTTTTTAAAAAATGATTTTATTCTTGTAATTTTATTAATAATACATAAATGGTTAATGGACAGGCATCACCAACTTGAATGACCTAAATTAATTATCCCTGTGGAAAAAGTATTATCCCCATCTTTTTTATTTTTTATTTTGAGACAGGGTCTTGCTAAGTTGCCAAGGCTGATCTCAAACTTGGCGATCTTCCTGCCTCAGTTTCCTGAGTTGCTGGAATTATATGCATGTTCCCTAATGCCTGGCTTGACCTGAATGCTTTGAATACTGATCTTTTATGTTGTAGATTATAACTTGATTTTCGTTTGATYGCTGTTCTGGGATGATGGCAATGAAGTGATGTACTATGGGAAAGAATACCATAGAACTGATGGTGTGTTTCTYGGTGTGTCATATTAAGGGGTGGGTAATCTTGTATGTTTTATTACTGACTTTATTGATCTTAGTCACTTTRTTAAAGTGGTGTTCTCCTGAGTTTCTACACTGTAAAGTTGCTATCTATTCATTTGTATTAATAAATATATTTGATACTATGCAAATTCTGTTTCTCTTTAAACTTTTGCCCATTAGTCCTATCATCCATTGAGAGATCTTGTCTGCAACAAAAAGGGGGAAGGAAAGACTCTTAATCATTTAGTCAATGTCATGCTACCCCTTCTCATGCTTGTGCAGTGAATTTGTGTTTATGTGACATACACATGTATGTGTATGTATATATGTGTGTATATCAATAATACTATTTATATGAAATACTGTAGAGTATATGATACAAACACTTCATACACAAATTATATACACTTTATGTGTATAAAACCACATATATGTATATACTCTACATGCTGTTTTGCAACAAGCTGTTTACTTAGCATGCATAATAAACATTTTCCCTATCAATAAATATTTTATATTATTATTATTACTACTACTATTTGCAATACTGGAGATTGAACCCAGGGTCACTCTACCACTGAGCTATGTCCCTAGCCCTTTTTATTTTTTAAATTTTGAGACAGGGTCTCACTAAGTTGCCCAGGATAACCTTGAACTTGCCATCCTTCTGTCTTAGCCTCTTGAGTTGCTGGGATTATAGATGTGTGCCACTGGGCCTAGTTCAACATATATAWACAGAGGATTGAACCCAGAGGTGTTTAAACAGCCCTTTTTAATATTTTATTTWGAGACAGGGTCTCACTGAGTTGTTTAGGGATTTGCTAAGTTGCTGAGGCTGRGTTTGAACTTGAGATCYTCCTGCCTCAGCCTCCTGAGCCACTCGAATTACAGGTGTGCACAACTGCACCTAGCTCAGTAAATATTTTTTAGAAGAGTTCTAAAAGTGGTGAGAAGTAGTAGTTAGCATTTCATTTTATGTTTCCATTATTTTTCTAACTGGTTTACAATTTTTTGGATGATTGGCTTACATTATTTTCTATTATATATAGGGTTTGGTGAATRTCTTTGTACACACATCTTTGCACACATCTCTGTATTTCCTGAGGATAGTTTTCTTGATGTCAAATTGCTAGCTCAAAAGGTTTTCACATTTTAAAAACATTTGATACACGTTATAAACTTCTCCCTCTCCAACCTAATATGCAGATGTGTAGCAGGTAATCCCACTCATCGTATTTCTAGCAATGCTTTGTGTCAGGATTTTTGGCATTCTTGCTCATAGTTAATCATTTAATAACAATCTTATTTCCACAAAGTCACCTCTCTATTTTCAGAACCAATGACTGTGAGTGGGGATGAAAGGCCACTATAGATGCCAGCCTGTGCAGGCTCAGGGGTGGAAGGCAGAGGCTCAGATCAGCTGAAGCTCCTATCAGTGTGTGTTCTGTAAGGAKGCTGAGCCACCTCAGTGAGCTGCCAGTACACTGGGTGGGCTGCTCTGGAGGGCTTCRGCAGTTGGCTGAATCAGAATCCCCTGAGAAACTTATTAAAATGTAGATTTCTGGGTTCAAATCCAGATCTAAAGATCAGAATCAGTGTGGGAGGACCCCAGACATCTGCATTTTTAAAACATTCTCTTCAGGGATGTCAAAAAATGGTGATTGTGGGTCTCACTTTAAGAAAGACCACTTTGGGGCTGGGGTTGTGGCTCAGTGGTAGAGCTCTTGCCTCACATGCGTGAGGCACTGGTATTGAACCTTAATAAATAAATAAAATAAAGATATTGTGTTCCATCTACAACTAATATATATATATATATATATAAAAGAAAGACCACTTTGGGCTGTAAGCAACCTTAACACATCATTCTTCCATAGCTCTGGGAGGAATGAGCTGGGCACAGGTGAGCTTTCTCTAATAATTATCCATTTTTTGGTGAGTTTTTCTTCTTCTTCCCCTT